TGCGTGGCTATCGTCAATTGAACTCTTACTTGACAAGATGTCGTATTTAAGTTGTGAGAAGTTAATGGGGCTTAGGTTAAAGGTCTGGGTAGGGGGGCACTCCCGCTCCAGCTTGCCCTATGGAGAGAGGATGATTGCGCACTGCGCATGTGGCAAACTCCCAAAAATCTGGGAGCCTTGCGTGAGTCTCTGGCCGATTATAAACACACTTATTTAATTCTGTTGTAGGTAGCTTCGATTTTATGTCAACGCCTCCTAACGGATCCTACTGGACTAAAGTAAAAAGCTGGCATATTTTTGCAAAACTTTGAGCTTGTTTATTGCTATTGTTATTAAATTTTTTAAGATAAAAACCATACTAAAACCATCAAGGAAGTGTCAAGAATCGGTATGCAAAATTTCAGCAAAATCAGTTAAGTAGTTTTCACGGTTAGCGATAACAACGGTTTAAGCGACTTTGCTTTATATATTCGTAAGATATAGGAGGGATCTGAATAAAACCCATTGAGTGCAATAAACGTGAAACAAACTTTTGTCAATGTATTAATCTTATAGCCAGTTCTCCATTTTTAAATTCATGACTGATATCCTAGATATGTGTTTGGCGACCACATAGGTTTTTAATGACAGATTTCTTTACATTTAAAACATTTTTTTTTTCACCATAATACGGTATCTGACGTTGTTGATGTTGTAATTGTGATGTTAAATTTGTGGTCAGTGACAGAAGAAATCATTGTCTTAACGTCTTTCACTGCTCTGTTGGCTTGGCTGATTAAACTTGAGTTATTTTAATGCTAAATTTATGTTGTTGAATCTACAAAAATCTGTAAAGCTAGATTTTCTTACTTTTTGACAAGTTTAAGCTATTTTGGCTGCCATATTAAATCCACCATTTTAAATTTTGTAATTATGACGCAGTTTTGATACCGAATTTGCGTTCAGCAACCTAAAAAACCACCCTGCAGGGCTGATATTCTGTTGGTTTTGAACAGGTGTCAACCTTTTTGAACGCCATATTGAATCCACCCTTTAAAATTTTATAATTATAATACAATTCTCATGCCAGATGCATCTTCAGCGCCCTGAATAACTTCTGTAGCCGAGAGTTTGTTAGTTTTTAACAAGTATCGGTTTGCTGGCCGCCATACTATATCCATTATTTTGAATTATGTAATTTTAATACTAGATTTGTGTTAAGCGATCTAAAAACCCCTATGGCCAAACTTTCTTTAATTTGTGAAGCATTTCAACTTTTTCGGCTGCTATATTAAATCCGCCATTTTAAATCTCGTTATTTGGATACCTGATTCGTGTTAAACAATCTAAAAAACTTCTTTGGCCATATTTTCTCAAATTTGAAAAGCGTTTTGACGTCTTCAGCTGCCATATTAGATCAGCCATTTTTAATTTAAAAATTCTGACATCATATTTGTTATTAGCGACCCAAAAAATTTGTAGGCTTGTAGTTCTTTGTAAAAAATGTGTGTTTGATTGAATGACTATGATATAATAAGGATATAGTGATTAGTGGTGCGTTCAGGGGTAGTTTTTAACCTCTAAATTTGTTTTTTTTTTACTTTGGACCACTTTTCTTATACTTTTGTATGTTTGAGCTTCAAGATCCAAAAAGAATTATATTGATTGTCCTATTACAGCGGCCGTTATCTTATTTTATCACAAAAAACGGCATTTTTGCCTACTGTGCACCTTAGTTCATTAATTTGCTGTATCATGATATGATTTTTACTTGGGTTTAAATGTTATAATATTACATGAGTTTAAATTTGGCGGTTTATAAATAATAATATACAATCAAACTTTTAATGACGAAAGCTATGCTTTTCCGGGACATTTCTGAAACATCGTATTTTTACGTTTGTATACAAATTTTTTAATAAAAATAGAATTCGAAAATACTTTTAAAATGCCTGAATTTCAAATCCATTGGATTTGTTGCAAGCGGAACAAGAAACAATTTTTTTAACTGTGGATTACAATGTATACATTTTTCCAAGAGCTGCTCTAAATTTTTAAATTTTAAAGTTATGTATTATCATTTTTCTTAATTTTATTTTTATTTATTACATGCAGTTTTATTTAAAATGACAAGAGCTATGCTTTGACCAAGTGTTCAAAAATTCACGTTTTTTACGTTCGTATTCTTATTCCCAAAAATTTATTGAAAAAATAAACTGTAAAGTTCTCAATCCTTTATGTACGGCTTTTCTTATGAATTAAAAAAGAATAAAGAAAAAAACAAGAATATATTAATTTCTTTCTTATAAGGTTTTACAACCTAATAATTAAATTCATCATTTACAAACCTTAGAACACTTAATAACATTAATGTATGCATCTTCGTAATCTGCAAGTGATAAGGAATCAAATTGTACAGGTGAAATCAAATTTTCATCTTAATAAGTATTTAAATCGAAGGTTTTTGTATTTTAACGCCACAAGATTTTTTCTTTACTTTTCATGTAGCAAATATCTCGCAAACTATTGATCCGCAAATGAAAGCTAAAAATAAGGATAAATCTGTGAGTGAGGAGAAATCGTTCGAGCTCTGAATGGTTGCAAAATAATAATGTTTTTTTTTTAACAGGCACTAGTTTTACAAGTCTCCTATACAAAGAGAGTTTTTACATGCATGAACACACACATACATACGCTCTGAGTTTCTGTTATATAATTTATTGGGTTCTAAATAAGTATATACTTATTTTTATAGACGCATGTAATTGCTCTTTCTCTCTCTTTCTCTTTCTTTCTTTCTCTTTTTCCACCACACATTTACCCTGATGAGTAAATGCGCTACTCCCATGCCCCGCTCCACGCTCTCCCCTTCCTACCTAGAACTGGACAGACCTTTTTGCATTACATCAACCAGTTTGACTTACCACTAGATTTTCAATACACGGCTGTAGAAGTTTTACTTCAAAAACAGGAATAAAAAGTCAGCTATGTACTGCCATTCCATGCACTGTCCACAGGATTTTGAATTCGTAAGATCAGTGGTCCTTGATCAAAAGCTATATATTTTATATTTACATCTAATAGGTATAAAAGTAAATTTTCTTAAATAATTCTTATAACTTTGTTTAAGAATAAATTGAATAAGAAAAAAAAAAAAAAAACGTAACAATTATTACAAACATTTTTTTATTCCAAATTAAAATTAAAATCATAATTAAATTATGAGTATAGAAAAACATTTTTGTAGTTGAAAAAAAGAAAAAATCTTATGTTTAGTATTAGCTGTACGTGTACAACTCCACATATATTCTATATGTCTCCAGTATAGGGTCTCCTTCAATGATCACTGTTACCTACGATGTATATTTGGTATGTGCATCGACCGTAGCCTACGTTCCACTTCTTACACGTCTGAGCTGTCCATTTATGACTTTTGGATAAAAGTTTATTATGAGTCTTCTGATTGTCATATAATTAATTATTAATAATATGAGGATTATGGTAACTAAGTTAAGGAAACGTAATATGTGTACGAGAATATTGGTATATATGTTAATTGCCATACTCATATGGATTTGTATCAAGCTTATATATCTAGAACGATGTACAGCCACGTACGCCTTAAGGATGGTCATATATATATATATATTTTCTTCTACATCTGAGACTATCAGAAAAACCATATGCTTAAGAAAAATTTGTACACAAAAATTAGTTTGTTTCAACAACTAAAACAATAAACTCAATATCTAATTAGAAATGTGAAAAATTTTTTTTTATACTAGTTGCTAATAGAAATAATGTGAAATTTATATTTAAAAAATCAATTATTACGTAAAAAACCGAAAAAAGCTTTCACATTGTATAACCTTTTAGTGATCGCCTTTACGGTGAAGTAATTTCTGTTTAATCTAAGAATATGAGAAAAGAATGATAGTGATTTTTATATAATCAAATTCGACGCTGTAGTGATCAAAAAATTTAAAATAAACTTTAATTTATGACGAATCAAGACAAGGCTATTGCGTCTGCTAAATATAACAACATTATATTCCAGCAAGCATGACAACCTTGGCTCTGTAGTTAGGTAAAAATAAATTTAATTAATAATGAAGCAGTAATAAAAGCTTCTACTTCGACGGACTAACAGTTACAAATAAAACTCTAACTGATTTTTCTGACATGCACAAAAATAAGCAACATGCACAAAAATTACAAGTAACAACTTTAAGGTTCGCAGGCTAAAAGCTTAAGGAAATCTCTTTCGAATACCTTACAAAGTAGCATTTATATAGTAATGAAACATTCAAAAAAATTTTTCAGTATCTTTACGAGAATGATCTATTCTTATGTTCTTATTTAAAAGTTTTCTTTTAGTTTCTGTTTAAGTTCTATGCTTAGATTATTGGTTGATGCAAGATCTCCCTACTACAGGTCCAAAGCAACTGTGATTTACGTAATAACCCTGGTAGAACCGTTACTACATAAATTGGCTAGGAACTCGTCAACATGTTACAGGCCTATTTACGCATGTCTGTTGACGAGGTTCTAGCCAAATTTATGTAGTAATTTTTTACTAGGCAAAACTTTAAATAAGAACAAACTAACTTAAAATAAAACTTTAAGCTTAGTTATTTATGAATTTCTTTACTTTAAGGACCACAATATGATTGTCAACCTAATCTTATATTGCATAATTATACAGCTCATAGTTTTTTTTTCTTAATATTCTGCTTAATGCAGGTTATCTTTAAGAAATAATTTTTTTGTTGGTGTGACTACATTTTAAACTAATTTTTACTCAATAAACAAGCTTGTTGCATGGCATCGTTAAAATCTATGTACGTTCAACAGAAACAAATTCTGCTTTTCTGTTAAAACGTATTAGTTGCTGAGTCTACTTTAATGCTTGATGCAAAAATCATTGTTTATTACCTTATTGTTAAATCTTCTTTTATAAAAAATAACTAAAATAAATTATATGTATTAGTGTTAAATAGATTTCCTACTGTTTTTTCTAGAAAACAATGATACCACTGCATAGTTCGAATAAATCGATAGGTCATTCTCTAACTGGAATACCTCAAATCGACTACATTTGGGATCCTAATTTACCACGCGAATTAAAAGGCTATAATCTGAGTGATTATCCCTTTTACAGTAGCATGCCTGAAGATATTGACTTCAAATGTGATGGCCTTCATGACGGATTTTATGCTAGTGTACCGCATAAGTGTCAGGTAATATACAATTTTTTTCTCAAGTTATAATCTCTTTCAGTGCTGAAAAAAGATATAGGTATGTAAAAACACTATACTACTGTATTAAAGTTATATTGTTCTTTATAAGTTCTCGTCGAATTCTTATATGATAATAATCTATAATCATAATATATTTGTGTATAGGTATTAGTAATTCCACTAAGGATATTAATTTAAACATTTTATGTTACATTAAAATGTATTATTGAAGCCTTTCTAAGTCTGTTATAGTTTGACACCTTCATTATAAAAATTACTATACGAACACTAGTTCAACAAAGAGCCAGAAAAAAAATTTTTTTTAACGCTGTTATGACAGTTCTAACGATTTTTTTTATTTAGTACCATTTTGTCAACGGCAAATGTAAACAAAGATCTTCAATTTTAGAACGAAAAGGGTTTTACTAATTTTCATAATTTTATAATCATGAAAACTTGGACCTTGTTTATTTATGCCTGCTTGTTACGATAAAAAAGACAATGTAGTCATCACATAGTATGAAAAAAAAATTTTTCAAGTTGAGTTAGCACTTTTTACAACCTAAATGTTAGTAAGGGCTCTTTATGACAAAATTTCAAATAATTGGTTATTCAAAAAAATCTTACAATTAAGTGCTTCCTTTAATTATAATATTACTTTTGTGAAAACTAAAACAAAGTTACTATAAACGACTATGATCGATAGTTAAATGCAAGCCAGTAAATCAATTATACGGATTTTAATACTTACTTAATTCTAATCCTTATAAGCGTTTTTCAGTAGCAACCCTGGTATCCTTTCACCCCTCTTGTAGGCGTCACTAAGGCGAGGTTAAAAATTAAGTCAAATTTCAATCCATAGAATTAATGGGGGAAAAATTAAAGAAATAAAAAAATTAAAACTATAATAGAAAAAAGTTGTACAACATAAGTATGCGATAAAAAAAGTCACTTATTTTAGTTTTATAAATATTATTTGCACTCATCCCATGGGCTCAGGCATACAAAAAAAAATTTTTTGTGCAGTCCAATGTTAGCTTTTTACGCTCCACTATTATGTTAGCAAAAAAAAGCTAGTTTTGATTAAATAGCTGGATGATAGCTTGAGTCTATAAAATCATAAACTTTGGATTTAAATTTCTCTAACTGTTGTTTCTTTAATGAACAAAACACATGAGCTTTTTAAGCGCTGTGTAAGTATTTTTACAAAACTGTGTCTATACTATTCTACTAAAAATTTTTAGACTTCATGGTATGTACCATACACACAGCATTCAAAATATAAGTGCTCTCTTCTGTATTTATCTGAGAGTCGTTACCATGAAAGTGGCTCTTTAAAGAGGAGTACCATAGATTTACTATACAATTGGAGAGATAGTATGGCTCTTTTCTGGAGAGCTACATTGTCAACAAATTATTCAAAGCCTTGCATATCAACTATGTAATCCATTAATAACTTGTGCTTAAAACTTTTAGATGACTCCTCTCAACATCATACTTTTTTAAATCTGGATGCTCTCCTCCGTAATAGTAAAGTTGCGTGAAAATGCCTTAAGGTCAATTTGAGGAAACCGACACGGCCTTGGTAACCACGGGATTGTTTACTTAAGATTTGCATACTCGAATTCTCAAATATCGTGAGTGAAGTATTTTTGCCGACATACCTCATGTATTTTAGCTTCATTTAGTTTCTTTAGTTTTATTCCACTGATTTACCGACAAATGTAGGTCAGAAAGTTGTTGTAACAACGAAAACTAGGGATATGTATCGTAAAGTTCTCAAATTAAAATTAAAATTTCTTCAGTATTAGCTTCGGCCTGAAAATGTTTTTACCAGGCTATGTGCCGAATTTATCCAGTGTATAATAATAATAGTCATGCTCTTGAAATTAAGCAGAGCTGCCAAAAGTGTGATATCGGCTATAGATATTTCCTAATTTCACAGTAGATAGCATACAGCATTGGGAGTTCTCAGTGGCTAAGATGGTAGTTCGTTTGGTTCCCACCTCGAGGGCTCGGGTTTGAGACTTCACTCCATCAATTCCTCCCAGAAATTTCCGAGTTACTTTGTGATATTTCTTGTGTGACTTAATCTCTAGAATATTATACAAGTAGGCAACTAATATAATGCCATTAACCATGACATGCAGATGTTTAAAAAACAACAAAAAACCAACGATGCCTTAGAAATAGGAGGCAGGTGGATGACGGTCGCATAGTAAAATTGTCCCATTAATAATAAATACTACAAATGAAAAAAAAATTTGTGGCAAACTAGAATTATGTAATGTGTGTGTGTATTTTTGCAGACATCAAATAAACACAGAGAGGACGGCATTGCTAAGTCCGGATACTTACTTAGTGCAAATTTTTAATAAGCATGGAATATAAGTATTTCAAATAAAAAAGTATGCCATTACCTTGACCCTAAAATTCGTGCGCTTTAAACGTAAACACCTTAATTACAGTATCTGAAGAGGGATTTGTAAGAAATAAATTAATTATCAGCAATATAATAATTTCTTAGGTATAATTTCTTAGGTAATAGTAATAAGTTATTCCTTGTCCCTCTTTTACAGTTTTTGTAGACTAATCGTAGAAAAAGTTGGATTTGTATCATAGTTATGAGTTAAAGATCATAAGTAAAACATAATAAAAATAAAATTAAAATTTATTGCCTTGATAATAACATTCTTTCAAGTAACCAGTGCATTAACAATAGTTACTAAGAAAATTACTATTTTATTTGATAAAAAGTTTTGCCATTTAGCTCTACCATTTCATATAATTAACCAAGCCTATATATAATGACATAGTTTGGAGCTTTAGGAGAAAATAAAGATAGTAAGTGAGTAAAACACAACCTTATTTTTTGCTTTTTTGTTGTTCGTGTGTTATGAGTTAAAAATCTCATCGAGATATAAACTAATTAATTATTGGTCTCCCTACACCACCCAACATATCATATCATTACCACGCCACATTACATGACATCATCGCACCGCAAAACACCACATATTTTGAATTTTATTAGTTTTCTTCTTCTAACCAATTTCTGAAGAAAAA